AAACCATTTCAAGTTTATCCAGTGCATTACCTTTCGATTATGCCATTGAGGACTCTGTCGTATTTCCTTGATCTATATTATTGATGGAAAAACACAATAATTAAATAAGTTATAGCCACGCCAAAAGATTCATTTCTTTATATAACCAAGGAAATTAGAAATGTAAATGCAAGGTATAAAGCATACAATATTTTCTTATGTTAATTACCATTTTTAGAAAGAAAGATAGTACTTGAGTGTATATAAGTGTTCAATTGGATGTAATAAATAAATAACAGTTCACCTCATATGTTTTCTCAGAGCAACAGTCTATAAAGACTAGTGCACACCGTCTATAAAGAAAGAATGACATGCTTCAAAAACTTGATCTGATCAGTACAAACTTGGTCTGAGCGGCACTACTGGTTCCTAGCTAGTCCCCGTGAGTTTGGGTGCCTAAATGGTGCTGAGCACTAGCGATTGAGTGAAAAGCTTGTGCCTTTCACTAAGTTTTTGGTTTTGCTGTAAATTTCATATCTTAACATGAGAAAAGTTAAGTGATTAAAATGGACATTTTTCTACTATAAAAGTCAGGAGAAAGTGTTCTTACAGCTTCAACATGGAGATCCATATGTATTCGAGAAAAAACATCGAGTCTCCCTCCAAAAAGTATCTTTAAGATTACAACACCAAGACTAAATATATCGGAGTAGATTGTGATTTTTGTCGAATCCATACGTTCAGGTGCTATATATCCCCTGCATAGTAAAAGAAGAGTTGGATGAAATACATTAAAAGCCAGTTTGACACTTCTTCTCGGGGCTCCAGCTTCTTCTAAATTTAGCACGCATAGAAAGAGCTATTTTCTTTCTAGCGCGACCTAGCTGGAGCTGCAAGGAGTCCTCCAAATGGGGCCTAACTCACAAGTCACAACCCAAACAAGATTGGGATCAGGAGAGGATTAGCCAACTTACGGTGTTCCACGTAATGTTTCTGTATATATAGTTTCATCTTTGCCGAAACACCTTGAGATACCAAATCCAGCAATCTTTGAAACCATATTATCATCTAGGAGTATATTTGTTGGATTCAGATCCAAGTGAACAATATGTTTCGCATGAAGGTAATGTAAACCTTGGCAAATTCCCTTAATAATCTGGTAGCGCATTCTCCATTCAAGTCCGGAAGATCCATCTGTACGGGGAACATGAAGAGGGCGTTTAGTAGTCGAGACACTTACTTCATTAATATTTAAATGGTAGGTCATATATGAGATGGTGAATTCATGATTCAAATTATATGTGTGGGATGCTTCACAAATAATATTATTATCGAAAATCATGCCCCTACCAGTGATATAATTAGACAAACTTCCTTTAGACAGATACTCGAAGCAGAGCAATCTGTGCTGTACTTCTGCCATGACAAATTTTCCATTGTACCTGACCATTCTCCGTGCGATTCAAAACAATATCCCAAACACCGTACTATGTTTTTATGCTTTGCCTCTATCAGACATTGAATCTCTTGGTGGAAATCATTGTCATCTAAATTACTATAGTACATCCTCTTCACAGCGACTGACAGACCATTCTCAAGTATCCCCTGCAATGGAAGTATGTCTTATCAGCATCATATCAAGTTCTCATATCAACTGGGCAGTTCAACATAATGGTGTCCTACCTTATATACCGTTGCAAAGCCACCAGTACCGATTCTTCGATCTTCCGAGAAGTCATTTGTGATGTCTCGTAGAAGTGACAGTGGTAAGGCCTTAGGCTCTGCCGTTTCATCTAATAGCATGAGCTTAAGGTCATTTAGTGCTCTAGTGATGTCGCTGTGTTCGCTTTGAGACGTGGAATGCCGCATCGTCTCCACCCTTGCTCTCCCAAATTTTTTAGTCCGTAGAATTCAATGTATATATTATCATCTTATCCCTTAGAAGCTAATAATCAGTATAACTATGAAGGTTGGCTTCATTTTCCGTCTGTTCTGCAAAAGGAAAAGTTTGGCTGTATAGAGGAACATCCAATAAAGTAGGCTCATGTATATACGTATATATACATATACACACACATATATAAATAAATAAACAGGTTAATATTATAGAGTGCTAATAAGAATTTGAATAAACAGGATAGGTGTGGCGAAAAAAAAAGAGCAAGTAAATTCCTTCTTCTTCTATAAAGCTCACAACAGATCTGTTGTTCGCTACTAGACTCTGTACGCATTAGACAGCATATGCGAATATAACAAGTAGTTCAGCAGCATATGGACGGTAGAAATACTGAAATAGAGCCGCGGTAATGAAACTATCAGCCGGCTGAATGCTTGAAAGCATCCTAAACACATAAGTAGTAGATTCTTAAATTGGCGTCAACGCTGGGACAAAAGAAAAAAAAAGACGTCTGTCTCTCGCACAAATTAAAACAACGGAGAGGGAGGAGAAGCTGCTAAAGCCACGAATTTAAGGCTTCGCTACCTCCGCTATAGTACTAGTGCTTGCAGTACCAGAATTAGTGGAAATCCCTTCAAACGAGCCTTCAATGTTTGGATCGAGTGGCTTCCCCACCTCGATGCAACTAAATAGCCTCTATAGCTCCCTGGAGAAAAACATTTGAAGGAGAAAATGTCACTTACGTGTAGAAGTCGAAAGTCCTGCTTTGCAATGAAGCCGAGTTTCAGATGGTAGCAAATTAAATCCTGAACTATGAAGGCAGCCAGGCAGGAAGGATGGAGACGGGATCTCGTAGGCATCGGGTCAACACTATGGTATATTCGAGGAATATTCGTGCATCTCAAAAGACAACCGAAGCCTGGTATAGTTCCTGGCTCTAAGGTTACGCCCTATCTCATCGAATCGAATGTCTGACAAATGAATAGACAATTAAATATAGATTAAAAATAATTAATTATATAGAATACGATTATTTTATAAGATGAATTTTTTAAGCCTAATTAGCACATGATTTGATAATAAAGTGCTATAGTAAAACATGTGGTAATAACAGATTAATTAGGCTTAATAAATTCGTCTCGTGATTTACTGACGGATTCTGTAATTTATTTTTTTATAGTATCCGAACACCTCATACGACATCCATATATAATACCCGATGTAACACCCCAAAACTTTACACTCTGGAACTAAACAAGGCATGAAGAAAGAGAGGCGAGGCACTACGTCTTCAAAGGGGTGATTGATACCTAGCTAAAGTCTAGTCTCTGCCACATCGGATCGGATATTTAAATACTAATTTGAACTATTAAATATAAATTAATTATAAAACTAAGTTGCGAGATGAATCTATTTGGGGCTTAAGTGTTTCTACACCTTGTTTTGAAACGAAATGGAAATTTTGCCCTCGTTTTTTAAACTTTGTGGTTTTACTGCTGCGATTTCAAAACGAAAAGAGATTTTACCCCTGTTATGTGAAGTCTCTATAACGGTGTTAACTTTTGGACAAAGGGACAACTTCATTATACGTTTTTACTCCTGTTTTATTTTGATATATGTGTTTTTACCTCTATTTTCGGATCAAACAGTTTGGCTATTTTGATATGGATTAGACAATTCAACCGGGGCAAAATCAGTTAAATTTTAGAAAAAAATCAACGGCATTTCAGTTATAAGTCCATATAAACACAAATTAACATCACATGGATGAATGTTTCTGTTTTCGCAATATGCGGCTCTAAAATGGAAGAAAAAGATTAAAAAAATATCATGCTGTCTGGTGGCTGGCGGTACAGCCTGTTTGTTTCGGCTAGATTGACTTAGAAGCCCATACCTGAAGTACTGCTGGCTGGTTTGGTGTGAGAGGACCGAACAGACTGGCGGACCTCTACAACAGCTTGCAGGGAACTCCTGTGTGCCGCTCGTGCACAGGCCAGCGCACCGCCGCTGCCGCATGCTGCTAAGCACCCATCGGGGGCCATCACGCGCACGCCGTTGTCGGACGCTGGAGCCGTTTCCCATGCGCCGCCGCGCTGCTGTGCGCCCGCTGGGTCCGCCCGTGTGGTGCTCGCGCAGGCTGGGGGGCCTCCCACGTGCTGGCGTGTTGTTGCGTACCCGCCGAGGGTCTCCCACGCACGCCGAAGGGCGCCCACACGCCACCGCCGCCGCCTCCCACGCGCCGCCTCGCTGCCGTGCGCCCGTCGAGGGCCGCCCGCTCACCGCCGCAGCCGCCTCCCACGCGCCGCCTCCACTGCCGTGCGCCCACCAGGGACCACCCATACGCTGCCGCAGCCGCCTCCTGCTCGCCGGTCCTAACCCTAGCCCTCCAGATGTTTGAATGTTCCAGTGACCGACCCAGAAGAGAGGAGGTGAGGAGCCCGGAAGAAAGGATAAGGTGAGGGCAATCTTGTCTTTTCGCATGGGTATATTTTTGTTTTCTTTTTATTTTGGTCATTTAATCCACTCAGATTTAACCGTGTCAGAAAACAAGGGCAGGCAGACGCTTCGTTTTAAAATTGCGTGGGCAAAATCACAAAGTTCAAAAACTAGAAGCAAAATCACCATTGCAATCTAGAATAAGGGCAGACACACCAAATTCCCAATCTCCCAATCTATTAAGCCTAATTAGTAATTAGTTCATGATTCGACAATGTGGTGCTACCGTAAACATTTGCTAATGAAGGATTAATTAGCCTTAATAGATTTGTCTCGTAAATTAGTTTTTATCTGTGTAATTAGTTAATATTTAGTTCTTCTAATTAGCGTCTGAGGATGTGATAGGGACTAAACTTTAGTGATTTTTTTTTTATTTTCTAGGCAAAGATTATTATTGCTGAAAAGAGACTTGTCGGCTATGTGTGACGCTGCTCATGGCGGGCAAAAGAAAAAGAGAGGAAACACACCAACCACACCAGAAGTCGTCCCTCGTCCGCGTCAAGGAAGAACGACACCCAAGGAGCCGAGCTAGCTAGGTACCAGATCTGCTCTTTCAATTCATTTCCGTCCACATAAAGCTCACTTTAATTCGGCACTCGCGCAGATCTATCGATCCAAGGAAAGAAAAATGGAATTTGCTGTGCCCATACTCAGCGCGGCAGTGGGCAGCGCAGTGAGCAGCGCCGTGCCGAAGCTTGGTAGGGTGATAGCTAAATTAGTAGGGAAGACCAAGATTGATGCTACCTTCATCAATGATGAGCTTCGGTTGATCAAAGATATAACCAGACATAATACCCCCGTTGTCAGCAATGAATGGATTGCACAACTGAGGCGATTGGCTTACGAGATCGAAGACTGCATAGACTGCTTCGAAGTCAAGAAGACGAACCCTGAAGAGTTCGCGGAAGAGATCGCTCGACTAAAGACGAAATCTGAGGAAACACGCCAGCGGTTATTACACTATATCCAGATACATAGAGGCTTGCAAAAATTGGCAGTGACCTCCTCAGCACAAGACCAAGGGCAACAAGTCATTGCTCCGGCTGCTGCTTTTGAGGTCCTTGTCCCCAATGAGCTTCAGGAGCTTGTCGGTAAACAGGGTGAAGATTGGCTTAATAACCTCAACTGTTTGCTATATTTCTGCATGTTTCCACATGATCATCATGCCAGGAGGAATCCCCTGATAAGAAGATGGCTTGCTGAAGGACTTGTGAGAGGCGAAGATGACGCAGTCAAATATCTGAAGGCCTTCATCGATGGCAAAATCATCAATACCACTGCGAAAAGCAACAATGGAATGATGAAGAGATGCCAACCTCCTGATGAGATTCTCAGATTCATCTACCAACAGTCTAGCGCCACAAATTTCATGCTGTTTTGTGATGACATGGCCAAACTTGAGGCAGAGAGTGCCCGCAGGCTTTCACTCCATCCCAACGAAAAGGCACTAGATGATATGAATTTGCCTGATTTTCCTCATCTCCATACCCTGGCGGTATTCCATGCCAGTGCCAATCCTGACATCTATGGAGCCATGTTGGAGTTTGGCAACTACGAGGTGCTGCGGGTGCTGGATCTGAAACAATGCGCTCCTCTGTCTAAAGGACATCTCTTAGCTATATGCAAGCTGCTGCTGCTGAAATATCTGAGCTTCCAGGGTGGTACTGATCGGCTTCCAAGTGAAATAGGGAAGCTGGCATGGCTAGAGACACTCGACATGAGGGGAAGTGAAACAGTGACCGTGCACGAAGAAGTCCTCATGATGCCCAGATTGAAGCACCTCCTTGGAAAGTTTCAGCTTTCTAGAACGGATACGATTTTCTGGACCGTCTGGGATTGGAAGACAACTAAGGTAGGGAAGTTTTTGAAACAAAAGAGTGTCCTCCAGACACTATCAGGATTTGTCACCGGAGATAGGCGTGGATTTCCACAGCTGATGATTCTTATGAGGAAGCTGAGGAAGGTGAAGATATGGTGCGAACGCAACGCCAGTGAAGCAAACCTGGGTGATATTTCAAGTGCCATTACCAAATTCGTTCGTGATGGGATCCAGGAGCCAGGCCGCTCCCTATCTATTAGCTTCCAAGAACGTTCAGGACAATTCCTAAATAATCTGCAAGTTCAAGGTGCTCTTACCTCGCTGAAGCTGCACGGTAATCTGAGTGAATTCCCTCAGTTTGTTGCACGGCTCAGTGGTGTTGAGGAGCTGTGCCTTTCATCCACTGCACTGACCTGGAATGTAATTCTAGCCGAGTTGAGTAAGCTGAGCATCCTGAAATATCTGAAGCTTGTTGAAGACAACCTTGGGCCCGTTGAAATACTGCCGGAACATCTCCGGAGCCTTGAGCGTTTATGCCTAGTGTGCGAGCCAAATCCTGACATAACAATCAATGCTGATGCTCTGCCTGGTCTTGTATCACTTCATATCATCTGTCAGGATCTAGGCGTTGTTCCTGGGACTCCCGGCATGGAAATCAAACACATGACAAATCTGCAAGAAGTCGGGCTTCATTCTCAGGTCGATGTAGCAATTAAACAAGGATGGGAAAATGCTGCAGAGGCCCATCCCAATAAGCCTAATGTAGGGACTGCGATTCTCTGCTGATCCTCCAAGGAGCATCATGGTCAGTTTTATATTATCTCTCTTCTTCGTCGTTGTCTTCATACCTAGTGCCTTTTGCTGAAGCTTACTCCTTGATTATGTGCAGTGCAAATCGGTGCAATCATCAACTGAATCGTACTCTTCCTCATTAATTTCATCGTTCATGCTCGGATCGATCGGCTTCAATCTGGATGTACGGTCTATGTTTTGATGCTTTCGACCGTGTGCTACTGGTTTGTAACATCGCCTGTGTACGAAATTAGGGATATGTCTTCCCTTTCTTCCAAAAATATTAAGACAACGACCTTCCATCCACCGGCTTGTCCGGCATCTGTGGAATGAAAGATTCTGGTGGGCAGGACTTTCTCCCCCCCCGGTGTTGACCTCAAAAAAAAAACTATGATATTATGTTCATAAAGGAGTATAGTGATGTGTTCCTCATCACATTGAAGTCAAAAGAGGCAGGGCTTAATTGGATGGATCAAGAGAATGGGAGAGGAGAAGAAGCAATGGCTATTTCACATTTCAACCTCTAGTGAACTTGCTCGTGTCGTTGTGAACATTTACAGATGTTACAAGTTGTGATTTGTGAACCTTTTATATTCCCTTGACTATTTATTGGTCTTTTTGATGTGATGCTCAAGGTTATTGTATTTCTCACTTTTAATACATTCATAGTGCAATTCTTCCATGGTAAAAAGGGTGTAGCTCTGACAGTTCACTCTTCATCGCATTCACAGAGACTAAGCGACAACTTTATTAGGGAAATAGTCTTTTGGTGTTGTAGAAACTCCACTCTAGACCTCTTTTGTTTCTAAACCATGGTTTTGCACATGTCTTATTCAAAAAACCAAAGTTTTATTGATACTATGCTTTCTCAAAACCACAACATCCAAATAGGCTCTTATTAGTTGACCAAACTACTGAGGTGGTATCAAATTCCTTATCTTGTTAGATGAATCAACGTCAAGGTCGTGGAATAGAAGTTACAAAATGTGTTTCTAACAGCTAATAAGGTCAAAACTCCCTGCCTGCTCGTGACCTTTTCCAACATCTGCCTAGATATCCCTGCCTGCTCGTGACCTTTTCCAGCATCTGCCTAGATATCCTCCAAAAAATCAGAAAGTCCACGGTAGCCTCATCGTAGATGCTGGGGAAAAAATCAGAAAGTAGTAGCTACTACATCACCTTTTCTGGCGATTGAAAGTAAATTTAAAATGCCAACCACTTGGCTCAAGTGGTTGTTTAATAATCGGCTGCTGACCATATGAGACAGTGGTCCATACAACTACTGCATGGATGTAAAATAATTTTATTCTACCTAGAACAATACTCTATCTTTTCCAAAACTTGTCATTTTATTATTCAAAGTTTGTCCTTGAAAACATGTCATGGTAGCCTTTGGACAACCAAAAAGAGATCCAGCCACAAATATTCAGCTTTATTTGTTCAATCCCCATCCGCATGGCTACATGCAGGCTGATCTTTATTAATTGTACCTGCTTGCACACACACAAAAAAAAAACAAAAACAGAGGCAGTAGTAGACAAGCTATATGTTGTATGAGTTGCCTGACAACTCTAATTTTTTTTTGAAACAATGGCAGGAGCTCTGCCTTTCAATTAAGACGAATGAAGTTTATATACAAGCAAAAAGTAGCCAAGCGTGGCGCCAGACACCACGAAAGGTTACCCACCCACGCAACGCGACAGAGTACACTCTACCATGAGTCATCGTTGCCGAGCATAGTTGCAAAGCAGCTAGCAGCTCCGACTTCCCATGGCAAAACACCGACAACCCATCATAAGATGTCAGACCAACGGGCCCGAAGCAGTAGGCTGCAGCAGGTCATCGTTGCCGAGCTCAGCGGCCCCGCGAAGAGCAGCTCCGACTTCCTGCCATGATCCCATGCCCCGCCCGCGGCGATTGCCGAGCCTCTAAAGCTGAAAACCCAGCCGTCGGAGAAGGAGGGTTCGACACGCCTCATCGTTGCCGAGCTACATCCCAAGATGCAGCAGCTCCGACTTTGCGATGCAGAACTCGCCGTCTCGCATCAACCGGGCGCCGAGAGGCGGAGGACATCCACCGAAGGAGACATCACGGCCGAGACGAATTTCCACACCGACGCCTTCAGGAAGGGTACGACGCCGAATGCGTCACCGTCGCTTGTCCAGGAAAGGACCGGGTTTTCACCCGTGGAAGACATGGCTGGGGGCACAAGAACACGACGCCCCCAACAAGGAAAACGGCGCCCACAGGCGTCGCCGTCGCTAAGACTTTCGCCTGAGGTGCCCCTAGCACATACGTCGAGCCAAGATGCTGGACCGTAGCCTGTCGCCACCGTCGTCGTCACTGCCATCCCGCAGAAGCTTCTCCAGAGGGGCATCGACGCGCTAGCTGCTCACAGCAGCCGCACAGCTACGTCGGCCGCCACCCCCTCCGATCGAGCAACATGCAGAATTGGACTTACCCTGCCACGCGCATCACCCTACCGCACACCGAAGCCGTCGCCAGCTACCGTCGCCGGCACAAGCACCCGCCGTCGACGCTGTCGACCTCCGCCAAGAAGCAGCCAGGTTCCTCTAGCCACACGCACCATGGCACCACTGGTGTCCCTGCTTGGCTACTGCCAGCCACACCACCACGGCGTCACTGGAACTCATCCAAGCAAGCCGCTGTCGTCCACGCCACCACGGCACAGCCGACGCACCTCTGCAGGCGGCCGGAGTGGGAAAACACAATGACAACGCCTCCAAGGAGGAAGACGACGCCCGAAGGCGTCGCCGTCGTCTTGCCGGCAGATCCGACATGGCTTTCGCCGGTGCTTGCCCACATCCAGCACAACCGAAACAGAGAGCCTTGAAGTCACGCCTGCCCTCCACCGCTGCCCCACGCCACAACGACCGCATCGCCGCCCGCACTAGCGAGTTCCGGCCGGATCCGCATGGGCGGCAGCAGCTGCAGCCGTGGGATGGCCGGATCCGGAGGAAAGGGGGCCGGAGTAGCCTCGCCGCCACGCCCGTGCAGGCGCACGGGCCCGTGTCCCAGCCACTGTCGCGCCCGCATCGACGCCCTGGCCTTGGTCGTCGCCGTCGCCGCGCCGCCATAGATCCACGCCGGGGGGCACTGGATCCGCGCAGACCCCGACTAGCGGACGCCGAAACCACCAGAGGGCGGTGGCGGCGGCGCCGCCACCACCACCCCACCATAGTCGCTCGCGCTGCCAGAAAACACCCCGCCGCCACGCTCCTCGTGGCTACCGGGCATCGGTGGCGCGCTCCGGCGGCGGCGAGGGGAAGGGGGTGGAGAGGGGGAGGCCCGGTGGTGGGGGGCGAGGGGCTCCGCCCGAGCTGCCCAGACGAGCGACGCGGGGTTCGGGATTTGGATTTGTTGACAACTCTAAATAGAACCTAGCAATTGAATAATATGTGGCCATGACACCTCTACGATCAAAAAATGTTTTTTTTAGTGGAGATTTCTCTCCTGCTTACATAATGTTTGTTAATTAGTAGGCAACATTTTGCTCTTTCCTTCACGTCACACTAAGCATGTGTTTGGTTTTTGGACTACAAGGGATGGGTAGAACCTAACCTAGTTTTTTTTGGGTCGGGTTGAACCCATCTCGGGTTTGGTTGGCAGGATGGTGATATCCCATGTTTTTTGTTTGGTTAGAGATAAATTGTATGTGGGTTCAGATTTCTGACGCGTAGTTCCCACACGTCAGCCTCTTATCCCTTCTTCTTCCTTGGGTCCGATCTCTGCTCGTCACCGTGCGTCCGCCGCTGCTTGTCTCCACGCGGTCGGCCATGCTCCGTCAGCGCAGCTGCTTGAATCGGCCGCGCCGCCGCTTGATTTGGCCGCCGCGCCACCGCGCCGCAATGCCACACCTTGAATCGGTCACGCACGCTGACCGCATGCGCATGACCGAGCAACCGCTGAATCGGCCCCTCCGCGCGACCGCATGCGCGCGTGCGTAGCAGTGCAGCGCCCTCCACTCCCACTGCTCCTCCGCGCAGGCGGTGCTCCTCCACTTCCGCACTCCCGCTACTCCTCCGCTGCGTTGCCAGGGCCTCGCGCTGCGGCTCACCAAGTCCCGCACTGCAAGCCTCGCACGCGGCTTGCCGGCCTTTCGCCGTCGCGCCGCCATGTTCGCGCGTGGCTCGCCGGCCCAAAGCAGCCACGCGGGCGAGAACTAGGTCGGAGCGGTCCACTCGATTTCGACGGATTGGGGCTGACCCGCATCTACTGTGGATATTCCCCTACACGGGGTTGGACCCAGTTTTGCTAGTCTCCAACCAAACGACTTGAAATCTAGGTCCAATCCACTCCGACCTAGTACAACCCACAATCCAAACACATGCTAAATGAGAGGTGACATCTTTGTCTTGGGCTCTTCTTCTAGACGTCAGGTCATCTACGTCGTCATATCAATTGAGATGTGACACGATTGCTCATTGCAGTTGCAAATTGATTTACTAAACACCTTTCTTATTCATAACCAGCGTACAAGTACACGCATATATATGACCCGGCGCCTACAAATAATTTTTTTTTCTTGACTTGAGATGGGGTAAATTATTGGACATGATTGGTAAATCTATTAGGCACCTCTAACTCTAATTCAAAGCCAGACTACACTCCATAACATTTCAACATCTAGAAGGGGATGCCAATACGAAATATTTCCACTTGGTAGCTAATGGCAGGCACAGGAAAACGCGAATTTTCCAGTTAATCAGGAAGAAGGGGTAATTCATGGTGAAGAAGAGCTGAAAATATATATCACAAAATATTATAAGAACTTGTTTGGCCCAACTTCTAGCCCTCCCGTGATGATTGCTGAATCACACTAAGATGACATACCCCAAGTATCTAACGAGGAAAATGAGTTGTTAGTTGCACAGTTTTCAGAAGAAGAGGTTAGGGAGGCTTTATTTCAAATGAAACATAACACCGCACCAGGTTAAAAGCTCTAGTTTGGTTTTGGTAAATTGATGAAATCC